GTGTGTGTGTGTGTGTGTGTGTGTGAGGTGTGGTAGTCGGAAGGCGTAGCACAGACCAAGTGTTGACACAATGGATTGCATCCTACTCTTGCACCGTCTCTGCCTGACCGTGAAGTGTGAGCAACAGATGTTGTGAGGCTTGAAATGTTCCATGTACAAGTACACACCACGCTGCAATCTGTCCTTCTCTTCTACGGTTTCATCACCAGACTTAAACAGAAATATCTCAAGGATCCCACTGATGAACCCCAATGATCTGCCTCCAGGGCTTCATGGCAGGTGAAGCGGCTCCTTATTTAAACTCATTACAAGCTTATTACTGGAGCTGAATTCTGTGAGAGAACCAGGCTTCGGGCATGAAATGCAGCATGGAACCTCAGCCTCCAGGGAGCCACCATGTTGTTTATGTGAGACAGACATATGCCAGCCTGCCAGAGTCAATTATTAAACATTTTTCCATCATTATGATGTTAAATTAAGCAGAGAAATCCATCTAATTAACTGGTGAAACCTCTTGACAGTCGTTTATTTTGTCATTAGCATAATGCAGTTGCCCTGTGTTCCTGTTTACAGTCGCAAACATCATAAGAACAACAACAACGTGTGTGACAATAAAAATGGAGGCGTATCAAAATAACCGTTTACAGAAGATAAATTGGTCATTATGAGCAAAATAGGCAGATGTTCCCGACAATCTATCTCAAAGAACTTTGACCTTTGACCTCGGCATCTGCTGTCGTCTCAGATGGTGTTTAAGATAGTTTATTTTGTTTTCCAATCATGGTTAAATGACTTTGATTTAGCTCCTTTAAATTCACCGACTGTTAAACGCCTTGTGAATACATTTGAATTTCACTTTCCCGTGGTTTATATCACAGAACAACACTGACACAACAATCTCCTCGCTTGCAGCGCTCCCATCCCCCTCCCCCCCAAAAAACACTGATGCATAACCCAATACCACTGAGTGGGTCAGCCCTTTGTCCTATAGTTATGGATTATTTCAAAGAGGAGGGGGTAGAAGGGTGGAGGGCTGTCTATGTCACTCTCATTGATGAAGTGAACACAGCAGGGGTCCCGGGGGAGAGAGACAATAACAGTGTATGCGGGGTTGGACGGGGGGGGGATTAAAAAGTCCAGACATTCTCAGTAAACACACATTTGTTTGTTTTTAGATTTATTTCCCTGCGGAGGAAGAAGAGGAACGGGGCGGTATGTTTTTGGCTGCATCGAGGCGGGGATACAGACCTCCTTAGGAACTCCAATCCCCTATTGCAACCATAATGTACACATGTTGATCCATCAGAGCAGTCGTAATCAAAGGGATTTGGGCTTCTGATCGGCATTAGTGGCGTCTCAGACTGGATGACTCACTTTTAAAAGAGATAGAAGCATATGCATATTTCCTGGTTTCTCCTTTAATGTGTCAGCTGTCTGTAGTTTGAGTTTGAGTCTAGTTTTCACCACCCTGATTTCCACACATGTCATTAAACTAACAAGAATAAAATCCAATTTATTTGGCTTCATAATGCTTTTTTTTTGGGATAATGACATCAGACTGTCACTAGAGACAATCCAAACATCGCAGACAATACTCAGAGTTGAGCCCCAGCCAAAAAAAGCAACAGCAGCCCAGACAGAAACAGAAAGAGAAAGAAAGAGAGGCTGGAAAAAAGAAAAGAAAGCGTGTGAGAGAAAGCATTTTCATTTCTCTCCCACGGAATCAGAGCTGAGAAACTAAAATCTACAATCCATCTCTGACACAGATGTGATCATCTGTCTTCGGCCTTAAATAAAACAAAGACAATGTGACGGAGAAAAACCTTAGGAAATTACAAAGCCTTCTCAGTAAAGAAAAAAATAAATGTCAATAGGCCTCTACCTGCAGGGGAGTGGAGCAGTAATGGTGTTGCCAAGTCAATGTTAGTTTCCTCCAAATCCCCTCTTGAGGAGTACAATAGTCAACTTATACCTGCTGGCGGAGGCCCCGGGGATTAAAGAGGACAGACGGCACAATGTCATACTGATAGCTCCGAGTTATCCGCTCAATAAAACTTCAAAGAACATTCCAGGATTTTTCCAAAGCACCATTGGGTGCTGATACGGTGGCCTGTCAGGGGTATGGCAGCGGAGCCCTGGCATAACAGGCAGCACTTTGTGTTTTTTTTATCCCATCAAAGCTAATGTCAGACCCTTGGATGTGCAGCGTGGCAGCGAGGCAGGCGTCGTCAGGGGGCAGTCACTACATTAGGGCCGTGTTTGACAATGCACAAGTGCGAATGCTAGATACGCCAGAAAGCCGATGACACGTCGAAATGCTTCATTTGAGGGGTTGTTATCACGCCGCGAAAGGTCCTGTCCGTAGCGATTCATTGTAGAGATTTTCATTTGATCTAGAAATAGGATTTAGGTCTCGATAAGTTCAGGTGGGGAGAGATGTCTGGCTGCGGCGTTCACACCAGGGACGTATTTGGCTGAAAGATGTTCCGAGATAATTTGGGATCTTCCCAGAGGTAAGGATTCCTACATGAAAGAAAACACTGAAGGAAGAGAATTCAGGACAACCTCCCGCCCCGATGCTTTTCATGTGACATGGGGCCGCAAGATGGTTTCAGCCAAACCTCAGAGAGCCGGGGCGGGAGGCGACATAAACAGAAAACAGAATCAACATCGAGGGAAGAAACAATTCAGTTCAAAGCACAGGGGGGGGGATAAAGGAAAACCCCACACAGAGAAAAAACATAAAACTTGAATCAGACATCATGGTGGGTGGCACGCAGACTGATCAGTGGACGGGCAGAGAAACACAGTTAATCAATAACACTCACTCAAAGGGCAAAAGTAGTTTGACTTAGCACATAACAAACACACACTAGGCTTTCTAGTAAGAGCTGTTAGTTATCTGTCAGTCCTGATCATAAATTCATTTATTTATAAAGATGGAAGGACGCGACAGCTCCCCCGAAAGTGAAGCCAAATCATCTCCACTGCCCCCTGGTGGCTGGCTGTAGTGTAGGTCACACTGATGTACTGTATGTTCAAGAACTAACTTTTTCCTGTAAGTTTCATTTTAATTAGTTTTTACTTATTTAGAATCGATACCGCACTTCCACACCTTTAACACTGCTGTCCAGAAAGCTTCAGCTCCAAATGGCTTCATTTGTGAACAACAGAAGGAAGTGGAGATGCATCGTCCATCTTTATACGTCCATGACAGTGCCCTCTCAAAACAACAAAATATATTTTTTGCTAGTCAGGATTCTACTGAGGGTAAAAAGCCACTATAGTATCCTAGTGGAACTGAATCTGACCTTACTTACTTGACAATCCAGTAGGAAAGCTGGATAAGCTGCCTGGACGGAGCTCACTTCCCTGAGCTCTAAAGTAAATTTTGCACGGTTTGTCTGCCCTCACCCTCTTACATAACAAGTGCTGTGGCTGAGTAAAGTAGCCTGGATCTCAGGTGGATGTTTGCAGAGCAACATCCTCCACAGGTCACCGTCTGGTCTAAAAACTGCTTTGCCACCAGTGAGCGGAGTCATTAATCTCTCTTCTCTCCACGTGCGGCACCGTGGCCGAACCGTATGACCTCTGCGGGTCAAGTGCATTCAGGTGGATGACAAAGAGACACCACGTGGACAGTATGGACTGACACAAAACACCATACAGCTGACAATGCAAAGCTGAATTCCTGAGGAATTCAAGGTGATGACTGAGTGCACACATAGACAGTACAAACATTTACCAGATACACAGAACGCAGACACACGTGGACAGTTTGACACACAGAGACCGTACAGGAGAGTGTTGTTGCTACTGCACCTGTGAGTCGGAGATTTCAGAGGGTTTCTCGGTCAGGCTGCTGCTCTCTGCAGGGATCAGGTCATTGTACTTTGTGCTGACGTCTTCGTCGGAGTAGTGAAGACTGCCTGGACTGGGCCTGGGAGGAGACCTGGGTACAGCACAGAGGAGGTGAACTGTCAGAATAATTCATCTGGTTGTTGTTCTTTACCCAAAAAGTTTGCACAGCCGTATAATGTTTTGGCTTTTCATGGAAGCCAAACAAGATGAGCTAATTTAAAGAACTTATTTTCATAGTTATTACCTCCTGTCTGTAATAATAACCAGGAGCTTGCCCGGGTGTGTTATGGCAGCAGAAGAACATGTGACACCAAAACACATTTTTATATCACTATTATAAACAAAGTGAGTAAAACTACTGTAATATGGCTTAAGTGCAAACCTCCAACATCCCACGCACATTATCAGAATCCATAGTCTTCAACCAAATCCGTAAAATTATGCAGCCTCCAGCAGAAGCTTGTGACATGATCATAGAACGGCCAGTTCCCACAAACATGTTGTTTCTGTGGACTAACGCGATCAGACGTTCTTCCTGCCACATCAGACTGAGCTGTATTGATGTTGTCTTTCTCCTAAATCTCAGTAATTACCTCGCTGAGTACAATTTTATCACAACAAACAAGATCGATGGCCAAAATTACCTCAATTGTCATGATTCTCTTTCAAAAAGCCCTTGGGCCGTCTTTCACTGAGTTCAGATACTACAATAGAGCAGATTCTGATTAAAATAAACAGGTAACTATGCAACAGCTCTCCTTCACTAACGCGTGAGACTTAACAGCGAGCGCTTCCTCTCAGGTTCACATGTATCACTGTCTGTGTGTGTAGGAGTGCAGCTTGATGAGAATCATGGGACACTCATGAGATGGCTGCCTGCTCTCAGTCTCCACTGGAACAAATAATTCCCCCGATTCACTCCTCACTGTGGGCTGTGGAATGTCAAACCACTGGGCCCTTGTGACTAAATTATAAATTGAACTGTTTCAGCGCTCAAGGGGTCATTATACAAATGGCAGCCTTGCAGGCTTCACCCCCCCCGGCAAATGTTATCCGAGCCAACGTGAGCGATGGCGTAGATTTAAACTGTCAGTGGCGTGCTGCGGCGCCCAAATATGTCATTCAGGTGTAAGTTTGAAGAGCGCAAGCGGTGGGACTGAGCAGAGGGAGGCAGTGTGTGGTGAGGATGGGGTCGAGGAGAGGTGTTGAGTGAAAGTGAAAGCTGAGAGAAAGAAGGAATGAGGAAAAACGAGGGCAGACTATAATAGGAATTACCAGGGATAAAAACAATTCCTAAAATGGCGCGCTCTTGTGAGGGGTTCTTTGAGTAAATATGAGGGTGGAAAAAAAAAAAAAAAGTCTCTCGCTGCCTAAGCTCCTCCGTACTTTCCAGTGTCCCGGCTCATGCTAAACAAACACCCATCTGTTTCTGCTGATTGGTGCTGGTTTGGCTGAGACTACTGGGACATGCTGACTCCTGTTGACTTTCCAGGCCGCGGTGTCGGGCCGACAGTCCGTGCCAGTGGAGCGGCTGCTGCAGTGCTCGCACAGCCGCTTTACACATCGAAACCACATTTGCATAAGTATTTTCCGAATAAACATATTGTGAAAGCATTTCAGAAATGCTGCGGGTAAATTCGAGCAATGTTCATGACGGGTGATGTTTTGATGGACAAAATGGAAAACTCCACAGGGAAATCACAAACCAAGCTGTAATTCAATTACCCTCGATGAGTTATATTAAACTAGATTAGAGTTAATTCATTTGACTGGAGTGGAGGGGTTGTACGTGCACAACGGAGAGCCACTTCTATGGCTCATTTGAGTGATATCGCTGGAGTATGTGCGTGTTTGAGGAGCTCTGTGAAACGATCTGAGTTTTGCTGTCAAGTTTCATTATGGACACTACTTTTCTGGTAAAGAACGGAAGACTGAAGGAGACTTAAAATTCCTCTGTGCACTTATTCCCAAGAGTTCTTTCCACCGCAGCCTTTAATGACATGAATTCGTCAGCGGTCCTATCGGCGAGTCCTCCTCATGACACCGGCAAACAAAGAGCATGCGAGAAGCGACGCCACTGTGAATTGTTATAAACTGCTTGTTTAGAAACATCGAGGAAGCGCGGGCCACTTTCAGACGTTCTCCTTGACCCTCATGCGCGTCAATATCGAGTGAGGTGTAAATTATTTATCAGCTCTCGCACTTGCATAGACAAGGGTCCACTTAATCCTCTCACAGCAGAACTCAGTCAGCAGCATGTCGGGTAAGAAATGAGAGCCACGGGGTGAAATCAAATCTGCCCCCGTTCTTTACTCATTATCAAGCTCTCCTCTCGCTACCGTTGCCTGTAGGGACTCATTAACATGTCTGAAGTGTTCAAGAGCTTTGTCACTCAAGAATGTTTAAAACCATGTTAATCTACGACGAATTACTTCACCAAGACCTTTTTAAAATGCAAACTAGTGTGTCAAAGTAGGTTTCAAACATCTGAAAGAGAAAGATACAAAGCCACACAGGAACGATGCTGTTAATCCTTCCCTCTGCATCATACCAGCGTTTTAACATTGATCTCCAGCAGGAGCTTCAGGCCCCAAACACATTTGCAGTCATGTGATTGATTCCAAGAAGAAGTGTATGTGTTCTCAGAGGCCAAGTTCAGACCTGGTTTTAAAATCTATCCTGAGGACACTTCTAAGTTCATCATTTCACACTATTGGAATGCATCCGGCATGTGTCTCCAGTGGGATTGGGATTGGATCTCACTTCCTCGCTCAATATGCAAACAGACGTCAATTTTGTTCCCAAAGACCAAATTATGTTGTTTTTTAACAAGTTCGACTGCAGATATTGTGATAATGTGTGTGTCGGTGTGAGAATTAGAGCTGGAGAGAGAGGCTGAGTGAATCACTGAGGATCTTTTCAAATGAGAAGAAAAGTTTTTACGCATTTGGATAAAAAAGTGAATCCACATGCGTCAGTTTATATTGTGTATAAATAATTTAATGTCCGGGGGCTGAGAACTTTGTTGTGTGGCCCAGGACACAGTTGCGTTCACACAAATGTGGCCACATTTCCAGACCACCTCTCAATGTGGTCTGAGTGATGTGAGCGATGTAGGTGGGTGTGCAGTATCCTCCAGCTCTCAGTCAAGCTCCACCCCCCTACTCCTCCAAATATGGCTACTTCTGGCGAGCTGCCACGTGTGCTACAACCATGATCTGTGCAACAGAGGCGTAGGTTAGGCATTAACATTGCACTTCTTTGGGCCATTTGCTTGACAGTGCTAAAAAGGCATATTGACAGTTTAAATAGTCACTGATAAAGTTGCCACTCACCAAACGTGAACTGCATCAACGACCCTTCGATGTTCATCGGATTCACTCCTGTGCACGTTGGCCCTTAAACTCTGAACAAACGATCTCCACATGGAGAAAATCTCCATCCAAAATCAACCGTAAACTGCACTAGCTGTCTGACACAGCTCTGAATTACAATGACTACAGTGGGATTAAGAGCGTGTTTGGTTTCTGATCCCAGTATCAGGCAGAGGACTCCATCCTGTCTTTGGTGTTCTGAGACCGGAGATCAAGATGCAGCATTAATCTATAATCGGTGGCTCAGGTGTCGGGATCTGAGCTTCGCCGCTGCGGGCCGAGTTGAAAGAGCGGATTCTGAAAGTACATCTGTACATTCTTTCACTCCCTCCACCTTCACCCCCTCCTTCGAGCTGGAGACATAATGGGAAGCTGCCTGGAAGCTCCTCAAAGACCACGGAGCTGCTTTGATCCGTCCTCAAGGTCACACTCACATGCACAAATGCAGACACACAAACAAACGGATCATATCCTCACACGCAAACCTGGAATGGACGCAGTAGAGCACACACCCTCAAAAACATTCCCCTTATGAAACCACAATTAAAATCAAGATTTAATTTGAATCTGCACCAAATTGCACACACTTGTAAACATGACTCCCCCAAACATCCCTGACTTGTTTCATCAAGGTCCAGGAAAAAAAAAAAAAAACCTTTCGCACTATGTTAAACACAAAGATTCCTGGATCTGCACCACAATTTAATGGGTTCTTCCTTAACCCGCCAAGTTTCATGGTGATCTGTCCAGTAGTTTTTGTTTAATCCTGCAAACAGACAAACAAACAAACGACATGGACATGCAGACTCGTGCACGTACACCCACACAGAGGAGGATTCTTCCTTTCAGGCAAACATCAGTATGCACCTGTAACATCCACTCAGTAACACCACACAACAATAAGATATCTATATGAAATATAGACAACCCTTGTCTTCAACAACACGACCACAGCTGTCCCTAAATCCACATCTCACCCATTAAACAGCTTCTAAAGAAGCAACGTATAGAGTCTGATCCAAAATTGGACGTGTCCCTGCAGCGCTCCCAGCACAGGTGTTGGTAAACAAGGCCACCGTCTCAGTGTGTCCTACGGCTACAGAGTCACCGAAATATAGACGCTCATTAAAAGAAAATCTGCTGTGAGTCTGTATGTACGCTGCTTTTTTTTTAAATAGCAGGAAGTGGGACTGGATTCCTTTTTGTCTGCAGGAGGAGGATGTTTTTTTTCTAGATAGCTGAAAATATTTTCAGGCATGAGGATGAGTTTCCATGGATAATTCAACTGTTTTACCACATGGTTATTCAATTTTGACTTTTAAAATCAAGCCTCTACTTTAAAAGCCACCTGCGCCGTCTGCACTGTCAGTTGTAGGATCACTCACCTGGTGTAGACGCCGTTCTTCCGGCAGAAGGAGTTTTTCACAGAGAGCCGTCGGTTGTTGAGCTCCAGTGCGGGGAAGCGTCCCTCGTCCAGGCTGACCATGTCTCCGTGGGTCAGGGCGTTGCAGTTGGAGTTGTTACCTGGACAAACGTAGAGAGACACTGTGTGACCACAGGCCGGACGGAGGGGTTAGTGTGTGGATGAATGGAACTGATCGGTGACAAAGTTAGTGAGTGAGTTAGTGGGAAAAAAAAGGATGGAAAACAGATAAATGCCTTTAAATTATTAATATTATTCGATTTTTAGAAGGTCAAACAAATCCAGTTTATGCTGCATGTACTTTCTGGCTTAAAGCAATTGTTCATCATTTGGGGAAAAATGCTTATTTGCTCACAAAATATGTAGCTTGATGCTGCCGCTGGTTAGCTTAGCTTAGCATAATCACTGGAAACAAGGGGTTCAGCTAGCCTGGGGTGTTAATTATTGAGTCTTAAGTTGTTTTCAGACGTGAACTCCATTCATAACTGAAGGAAAGTGTCCGGAACATACAACCAAGGAGAGAAAATGCAGAAAGCATGAATGTCTCTAAAATATGTGCAATTAGAAAGAAGGGAACTGCCCCAATAAGGCCTAGAATAAAAAGCTAATGTAAAACAACACTGTCTGTGGATCACACATGTGAATGGTGCAGAGGTTTCCATGCAGCAGGTTAATGTTTGGAGAGAACAGTGCTGCAGGTTAGAAACACTTTCAGGGATCCTGAGAGTTTCTGGGGTCCAAGACCTCCGTGGTTGTTGCAGGGCTACTTGAGGTCAATGGGTGGTTATGCAAATACCCAGAAAAATAAAAACCACTGGGTAGGTCCAGTGGCCTGGGCCGGATTCCTGGAGGGGGATATGGAGGCTTTGAGAGCGTCTTTGTGTTGGAATGAGAAGGAACCTCTTGTTTTTTCTGTCAGTCAGAAAGATGGGCAGTGACCCGCAGGGACCCCCCCTCCCTTCCCCGGCCTGGCAGCTGAACAGCTATAACAGAAGTGCTGAGCAAAGGGAAATACCCACTGATGTCAGAGCTGCACTGAATGGACAAGTATGCCCCCCTGCTCCCGCTTCCCTACGTCTCTCCCGCTCTGCCTCGTTCTTCGTCTGCCACTCGGTCAATAATTAGTTTTATTCAGAATCATCAATATAACCCTCTCAAAAAAAACAGCTCAAGTTCACCGCTCTGTGTTTAATAACTGCAAATAACCAAGTGTTTCTCTTTTATAAGAAAAAGTAAACTTTTCAGATTCTTGGCTCTGTCTGACATCAGTTTAAAAGTAAGGTAGAATCCTTCTGTGATTGTTAAACGCTCCATTTAATTGTGAAATTGTGTGCACTCACCAGATTCAGACTTTTTGGCATACTTCTTGCTCTGCCCCCTGATGATGAGGATGAAGACCAGCAGCAGGATGAAGATGAGCCCCACCAGAGCCACCACCACCAGGAACCACCACTCCTCGTAGAACGGTGCCACTTTCTGGGCTGAGTAAAACAAACAAGAGGAAGAATTTCAATTTGCTGTTTTTTTTTTTAAACATCTGCTTGTATTTCTGCGATGTCTGAATCCACAAAAGCTCACCGGATATAGAAGGAGAGGGTAGACTTGGAGAGCCATAGCCATAGTCGTTCACTCCGATTACTCGGAAGTCATAACTGACCCCCTGCTTCAGGATGTCCATGTTGAATGTATGCAATGTTGCTTCCTTTGGGATGTCCTTGATTAAGATATCCCACAATCCCTCATCTGTGGATCGCAAGTCAGGGTTAGAGGAGACTATGGAAGTTGCAAAAACATTTAAACAATGCCATTATATCTTTATTAACGGGTTATTTGTTTGATGCAGGGCTCCGGTCTGCTTGGCAGCTCCCAGGGTAATTCATAATTCCCACAAATATTAAACAATCCATCAATTTCAATGCTCCCGTAAAATTTACAGCCACCAAATCTACATCATAAATAGTGGCGTGGTCATATTTCAAACTAAGCAATGTTAGATGGCTTCCTGCTTGCTTTGGAAATCCTGTCTGAGACCATTTATTACACATCGCTGCTTGTAAACATCAATGCGAGTTTGACTCTTTTAATGGGGTGTGCAAACATAAACAAGCGCCAGAGTTCATCAGTCATGTTGTTGAACTCTGTTAGAAAGTTAGAAAAGCTGATGTAATTTGATTCGAGGACAAAAACAAGTCATCAATTTGTACGAGTATGCAGAGAGTTATGACACTTGGCTTATGCATCAGAGGAGAAGAGGGGAATGGGTGTGTGGAGCTGGTTTAACCATCTTCACTGTCCCCTGGACTTTGACCCTTAGCTATTCAATATCACCCAACACTCCTGAGTAACGCTCCTTAAATATAGAATTAAGTGCCCTTTTCAATTGTCACCCAGAAGTCCTGGAACACATCCTCCCCTGGGAGCCACCGACCATCCATCACCCTCTTAACCCTGCCCAAGGTTGTCAATCACACCTGAAACCGGATGCCAATTTGCTGAACTGCAACACCTCGATCAATAACCCGTTAAAAAACCAGGGACACTGAGGCAGCAAACCATCTAAAGGCTTCTTTATGCTCAGAAGGAACCTTCTGTCACTGCTCTTTGTTCATTTCCTCAGTATAAGTGCAGAAACTGAGCAGTAGCATAGGAAATCGCAGGGGGCAGGTTTGCCAATAGTTCAAGCGAGACGATCCTCCACCAGCGCCATGTTTTGTCATCGTCAGAAACTCTAGACTCCCGACATATCTCTCAATAAAGAAAGGTAAGTATATGATTGTGATTGCCTGATGTCCTTACACAGATGATGCACGTACCTGAAGGTCTTGCCTCGATGACGTAGCGTGTGATGGGAGCACGTCCCGGGTCCCCGCTGGTCCAGTGGATGGTCAGGGCTGAACCATAGCGTGTGATAAAGGGCTCTCCAGGCGGCCCAGGGGCTCCTGAGGAAGAGTAATTAAGCGTTTATGTAAAGCTTTTAAAAACCAGTGACTCAAATACTTTAAGTTTCCAGTGCCGCTACCTTCTCCGGGGCCTGTGGTGATGTTGGCCTCCACCTCTGGCCCATAGATGAAGGTCTTGGCCCGGATGCGGAAGTTGTACGTGATGCCATCGGCCAGGTCCTTGAGCTTCAACCAGAGGGGCCCACTCCCCTTCACATCCACCGTCACTGTCTTACTGACGCCTGGGGGGGAGGGGGAGTGAAGACAGTCGGCACAGGCCACTGAAGACTCTAGACAAACACAGCACATTTAGAGCAGGTCTTACACAGGCCAGGCAATGTGGGAACACACTCAACACACACACACACACACACACACATACACATTAATGGAATTAGTAGTGGGAAACATGTTTGCATTTTGTAGTCACGTATTATTTTTGATGATAGAAGAAGACGTATAAGGTTGCAATGACATATGAGCTGTTTAGGTCAAGGTGAAAAATGCACACCACAAGATTGATCTGGTCAAATCCTGTACAAACATTATTTTATAATCTTTCTAGATCTTGTAGTGTGCATGTTGCTTTTTTTTTTTTTTTAGAGAAGCAAGCAACCACTTTAAGCAGAAGTGTTATAGTTAAGAAGGAGGGCTTACCATCGACAGGTGTGCAGGGTTCGTAGATCAGACGGTAGCCCTCGATGATGCCGTTAGGGAAGGTTGGCTCGCCCCAGGAGACATTGACCGAGGTGGTGGTCAGCTCACTGAAGTGAATGAAGCTGGGAGCACTGGGAGCTGGAAGATACACAGGTCAAAGGTCAATAAAGTAGGAATGCTTAAGGGAAGTTGGAGGTTTTCCATGATCTTCATTTGAGGCCACACTTTATAAAATAACCACCTGCAGCAACCAAAACAGGACAATTTGTTGAGGTTACATTTGGGACTGGACTCAATACTCAAGACTATTACATTGGTTTGACTCAGACCACAATTCTTAGCCACAACTCGTACAAGGAGAGAAAAACCAACCCAACTCAAACCTGACAGACATCCTGTTTTTTGTGTCCAAACTCGGCCAAAGCTTATCCAACGTGTGGATCCGAGCCGAGGAAATCAGTCCAAACATCTGTACCACACATCTGCGCTGCTGCTTTTATTTCCTTTTTACAGCAAATGTTTTTTTTGTGTTTAACAAACTTGAAAAGAGTTTTACTTTCCTCAGCAGAGTCTGTATCAGGCACTTTTAAACGGCTCCTGCTGTTACTGTGCTGGAGCTGCAGCGTTCTAACTCAGTGATATTGGCTGAGATTGGTTGAGATGCCTTGCAGTGAGTGTCCTTGTTCACCGATTGAACTGCCTTGATTAGGTCATCGCCACAATTTTTCTAGACTGCATACAGGTTAAAAGGCTAAACAGCAAATAAAAATACTATCTGACCCAGGTCATTCTAATTCACAATCACAATGACCATTCTCAGCCTCCGGGGCCCATTACACTTGACTGAGCTTGTGACACCGCTGTGCTCGAAACACTGTTTGCCCTGTTGTGTTTAAACTTGTCGAGCAGGAGTTGAGACGCTTCCAAAAGACAATGTCTCTTTGTTTCCTGAAAAGATGGGATAGCTGTTCCCCCCTCCTCCCCCTTCCGGCTTGTCATCTGCCTCCTCGTTGTGAGAACACCCACGAGGGAAACCAAGATTCTGAGAACACCTTCATTCTCCTGCTTTTCACTCGTCTGAGATGAAGTGCAAACTTGCACCAGATAGAAAGAAAGAAAGAAAGAAAGAGCAATGCATAATGGAAAAGTTAGATTGGTGGTGTGTGTAGACGGGGCATGTCTCGAGACAGAGCGCTCGCTCACAGAATTTTCATGCCGTCTACTTTTCAGACAAAACAGGAGATCGAACGAGTTCAGAGTAGGTTTGCTGATTAGGAACTTATGCTCAGTGTGTGGTTCCGCTAACAGCGTTTGGCACACTGACAGCAACGATTAGCATCATCCAAATTCTTTCCTCATGGTTGACTCATCCACTTTGAGGAAACTCTCCCAACTAACTTCAGCAGAGAAATATGAAAAATGAACGAACACCGCCATTTGTGCTCTGATTTATCTGCTTCAGTCATGTCGTCCTGTCGTCTCATTTGTTTTTACCTTGTCTCGTTCTTCTCGGTGCCTCTCCATCATATGTACATTCAGAACTATTTGCTTCTGCTGTCGAAGTCATTCAATATATGAATGAATATTGTGCATGTTTATTGGTATCCAGTGGTTTGATTTACCTGCTTGCTGAGTGCGTCCCCTGGTTGGTGCGCTGCGGGGTCCGTCCCCAGCTGCATTGAAGGGGGCTACGCTGATCATATAGGTGGTGTACCCCGTCAGGTTCTTCAGTTTCACTCCTCCCTCAGGCATGAACAGAGTCCGCAGCCGCTCTGTCTCATTCTTGCGCTGGAACTCCCAAAAGTAAACCTACATGGGATAACAGAGGCATAAATACATATCAATGTATGTCCGCAGACGCTGCTTCTGCTTTTATAAAACCCAGTACCGTTTCAAACTCCCTCAAGGGACGAGCGCAATTTCATTTTATTCCCTATAAATGTTTTCGTGAGCAACAGAGGAAAGATTTCATTGAGAGCCCCCGTGGAAAACAGTGTTAGCTAAAGCAGCAAAAATGTGCATTTAATGGTGATTAATATCAAATTCACACGCTCTCTTGTGAAACACAAACACATTTAAATATTTATACAATGATAAAAACAGAACACAATATTCTTATTAAGAAGTGATTATATAAAAAAAATTTCTCCTCGGGCCCAATAACATATTTGCTGTTGGCTGGAGGTTTAAATGAAAACTGTGATTGTGACCTTGTAGCCCTGGATGTCTCCGTTCTGTGCGTCCACAGGTGGAGGGTCCCACGTCACGTCCAGCTGGGTGGCTGTCGCAGACTGGATGGCCACATTCTGGGGCGGAGCTGTAGGTACTGTCAACACACAAACCATAATGTACCATAACTATATATTGAAAAAACATGTTTCCAGTGCCAGTTTGTCTGTAAATTAGCGGGAATAGCTGTATGTGCTAATATCTACAAACAGGTGATTGGTACGGAGTCAAATGATCTCAACAACTGTAATATGGTGATGAATTAGCCAATCAGTCTTGTGTGCTCTCCAAGCGCCCCTCTAGGTTTTGTGTGCATTATCAGTAGTTTGCTCATTCAGCTGTCGTCATGGCTTGAAGCAAAAATAAAACCTGAACTCATTCATCCTTCACAGAAAAAGCTCTGGGATCTGAGAAAGACAAATTGCTTCTGAAATCTTAGCCCGACTCTAAAGGAGATAATATAAACCCCACAGGTTGCCAAGAGCAACAGCTGTATGGAAACGTCTCATCCACTTGTACCGAGGGTGGTCAAACAGTTTTGTGTTGACAGGAAGTGTACATACCGGCTTCTCCCACAAACACCTCCTGCGGTGGACTGGTCGGCCCCTCGCCCACAGCGTTGTATACACTCATGCGTATCTCATAGCGCTTGTGTTTACTCAACTCTGCAGAGGGAAACAAAAAGGAATGGAAAGTTAGAAATTAAGATTTGCACCAAATTATGGATTGTACTTTTTAAAAGTTTATTTTCACAACCAGCAGGGGGTCGGTCACCTTCCTCCAGTAAAGAACAAACAATCAGAGGAGCTGTTTTCAGACTGAAAACTGAAATAAAGGACACGGACACTGCTGCAGGAAAGTGAACGCTGAGTTTCTAGTGTTGGGCAAAGCTTTTGGGGTATTTCCACTTCAGAAATACAGGGACACTGCAATTATGTGGCCGTAGACTGTGTTAGGTATATACAGCCATCTGCTTTTGTAGTGCTCATCCAAATAAGCAGATTTGTGCGAACCAAGGAGTGTGCTGGGCTAGGAAGGCTTGTTAAGTCCGTGTCCAAGAATGTCTGTGTACAAAGTGCCTCCATTGGCCTCAGGAGAAGTGTTTGTACGGAGGAAATGTGAATATATGCAGCCAAATGTTGCGTGCTCCATACTCTGCCTTTCCCCGCATCATTATCCAAGGCTGCAGAGTGCTTGAGACATATGGTGAAATTCAAAGAAAGAAAGACTTTCTTTAAAGCTAATTAGTGTGTGTGTGTGTGTGTGTGTGTGAGAGAGAGAGAGAGAGAGACAGAGAGATAGCAACACTTACTGTCCAACTCATACTGGATCAGGGTTGAATCACTCAGATTCCGGATACTGTAGGGGGCTGCGGTGGAGAGGTTAGAAATAGAAAGCAATAAAAATAAAAAAGTAGTGGACGGTAGCGTTCTAATATTTTCATTGTCGAGAAGGGCATCGCTACTGTCGACAAAAACCCACATAATCTCAGTGATCACAGCTCTGAGTGAGCCCCTGAATGACTCCATGATTGTAAAATTATAGGCTAAGTTGCACAGAGCTGTACAAACAGAGGGACTCCTGAGTAAACGTAATAATAGCCTGCTGCTGATAGCTGCTGATCACACACTGGGAAGTATCAGGTCCAGCGGGGGAGATCTTTGGATACAGAATATCGGCCTTTTGTGAAGGTTTTCCTCCGACGGGGATAAAATCGGACCTCACATTTAAAAAATGAAGGCAATAAACTGCTAGTCTAAATGTAAATGTTAAACTACACAGAGCTACAGTGTGAGTGGTAGAGTCGTTCCTCACCGGTGAGCTCAGCCCAGCCGGACATGCTGTTGATGGCGTGAACTGAGTAACTCCGCAGACGGTCGTACAGCAGCTCACGATATCGAATCCGAAATCCCAGTAAGATCCCGTTGATCTTCTCCTCCGAGGGGCGCTGTGCGGGAAAAAAGAGTCACAGGAAGTAGTTAAAGGTTAAATAACAAACTATGTGTTTTCCCCTCTATCCGTTTGTTTGTGAGACAGACGTTTACGTATAAACTCCACGGAGGAATCCCATTAAATGTTTGGTTTGGACAACGTTTTCACAACTTTCCCCCGAGAATAATAATTCATGGATCCTGATGATAAGAATCAGGCACATTTATGAGCACTGATATGACTGTTCAATTTGATAAGCCCTCTACTGAGTGACAATGCAGTTCAGTCTTGCTTCTATCAGATCTAATATCTTTTCTCTGATTTGGAGAATGTCATCCATCCTTTATCTCATCTCCTCTAGACTATTGCAACTCCTTGTATTCAGGCTTAAGCCAAAAAGCACTTTCACGCCTTCTGCTTGTACAGCACTGCAGCTGCTCTGCTTTTTGACAAACACAAGGAGACCAGATTACATCAGCCCTGTTTTAGCCTCACTTCCCTGGTCACCATTTATTTTAAGAATTGATTTTAAGATTTTACTGATTACTTCTAAAGCACTTCATGGCTTATCTCCCAGCTGCATTGTGCTGAATGGACCCCCCCCCCCCCTCTGGAGGCAGCCTCGTTCAGATCCTCCACCAGAGCTCTGCCGGCTGTTCCTCATTTCTTAAGACATGTATTTTTACAAATGCCTTTAATTAATTGTAGCACACAGTCTTATTGCAAGCTTTGTCTTATTTGCTTTTATTATTACAGTGTCTATCTTCATCATGGGGTTTTTATTGTTTTCATCCTGTTTCCAAAGCACTTTGAAACTTTGTTTTTTGTGGACGTAGATCCCTGTAGATCTCCAGAACACAGCACGGGACCCAGGGGTTCACTCTTATTGAGGTCTTACACTGTAAATTTCACCTTAACAGACATTTTACCGTTGTGTGTCTTCACTGTTAAGCTTCACTTCATTTCCCTTAATGTGTCATCACTGCAGAGACTTACCGTAATTGAAAGAAAAATAAAATGAAGCTCCACCGAGAGTGAGCTCATCCTCAGGTGAGTAACACAGAGAAATCCCCCATGGTTGAACATGAGAGAGCACGCCCGGGGGGGGAGGAGGAGAGAGAGAGAGAGAGAGAGAGAGAGAGAAAACAAGCACCTCTCTATCCTGATAAACTCTACAAGTGTTCCCCATAAAAGTAAAACTGTGGCTCGGAGCCTCCTGTTTTTTCCTCTTTATGACCCGTTAATTCAGGTGAGAGAGTGGGAGAGGGTGTTTTTTTATTAGAGAGAGCGTAAGTACAGGCCTCCCCTCTGCACTGCCTCGCTCTCTCATTAGCGGCCCCTCTCTCAGACTTCAGTGGATTCTGGAAACAATGAAACATAAAGAAAACCCACTGTCTGCTCTTACCTGCCAGCGGATCAGCACCGACGTGGTCGTGTGCGGCGTGACGGAGAGGATGGCCGGTGGTTCGTCGGGCGCTGAAGCGACAAAAAGTTAGACGAGTGAGCCAAGTTGACCCGAAAACGTGCAAAAATTCAAGATGCTTTATCGGTCCGTGTGCAGTGGCCTTCATGGAGCGTAAACACACAACGGACGAGTCTAAAAACCGCAGCTGGAAAGATCAGTGGAGCGAAAGTTTCTTTTGTCGGTGAAAGCGACTCTGGGCAAACTTTGCCAAGGTTTTAACTCTGCCCTCTTGTCTGGTGGTGACTGCAGATGGTGCGTGGCTCTGCCAGAAGTGTCTGTAGCACAACGGGGGGGTAATTCATGCAGGCAAAACACTTTTCCTTCACAGAGCAAAGCCTCGTTTTTTGCATTAGTGTTGATACTCAACATATAAATATAGATTAGCATATCTGTGTACTGTATATTTAAGAGATGACCATGTTTAATAGAGAACATTTCATTTTTAAAGTCGTAGTTTGACATTTTGGGTTCGACAGTCGAGTGAAACAAATCACTTCCTCTAAAACCACAACCTTTACTTTTACACTTGGCAGATTAAACAATGATAAGTGAGTTTTAAATGCGATGGTGGGTGTTTTTTTTTTTCCGAATGGAGCCAAGCTTAAATCTTTATCCTGAGCTAATAGCCCTTTAATGACATTAAATGAAAAAATATTATGCTCATATGATTCATAATTTTCATTTGTGTTATTACTTGAGAATATTTTCATGCTCTAATGTTCAGTAAACATCCCAAACTGCTCCCTGCTGCAGCTCCTCTGTTCAGCCTCTGTCTGAAAGACTTGGTTTTTAGCTCCCGTCCTCTCGTGATGTCGGTCTTACCGTCCTGCAGAGTCGTGATGGCTTCGCTCTCCTCGCTGTACTCGCTGTCTCCTATATCATTGGTGGCTTTCACTCTGAACTGGTAGGACGTAAAGGGCTTCAGCCTTCGTGGGGGGAGACACAGGACAAAGGACAAAGGACAAAGGACATTAATTGTGATCGATCTTGAAACCATTAAAGTATTTTTGGGGCGAATTCAAACTGAAACCGGACTAATCCATTGTTTGTTTTCTAAACCGAACCAAGGACACATGATTATTTATTTTTACAGTAAGGACATTGTTGAGGGATGACAGTACAGTTCAGTAGCTGCATTACAGCTGTGACTGGAAGCTGTTGGCTGATCATCATCTCTACCTGGATACGATGTAGGACGAAGCCTCGTGGTTGACGGAGGCAGAGTGGACGGTCCAGTTGCTCTCAGGAAGCTCTCGAAGCTGCACTGTGTAGTAACGCACGGGGGACAGGCCGTCGCTGCCCGGCTCCCACGACAACAGCACCTGACGGGCCTGAACGTCTTTCTGAGGGACCACGGGACGGCTGGTGGGCTGGGGTCGAGCTGGGAGGGACGGACGGACAGACAGAGGCACAGACAGAGGCACACAAAGAGACGTTGGACGAGAGACGTGGTAAATCAATGCAATCAAAGGATGGAGAGAATGAGAGAAACAGCTGTGGCTCTTATGAACGGTTTTTGAAAGAAATGCACATTTGCTTATTGCTCTCTGCTCGCATTTGCATTTGCTACGTTGCACAGCCAAGGAAATAAATAAGTGCAAATTTGACGAATGAAGAGTAGCGGAGGACGGATAGCTGCAGAGTAAACAGTCGCCAATGCGCCTGGAGGGAAGCAGATGGACGGATTTGCTTCCCACAAACACCCAAAGGGCAGAAGACACATCTGCTTACTGGACTGTTAACTGGAAATGAACTAAGCACAATGGAGTCTTGGCACATTACTGTGATCACACACCTGTATCTGCTCCGAGAATCTCATGTTTACTGAACTACACATGATTTTACTTCAAAACATCATTTTAACGTTGTTGTGTAATTTAAATTTAACTGAGCTGCTTTCACCTCTCTTCTCCGTGGTGACCACCAGCGCCTCGGCCGCCTCGCCCCAGCCCTTCCTCGTCTGCGCCGTGATGCGGAACACGTAGATGGACTCCGGCTTCAGGTTGGTCACCGTGTACTGGCGAGCGCTCGGGCTCAGGACGTCCACCGTGGCCGTGTTGCTGTTGGTGGAGTTGAGGTGGTACGTGATCTGGTACGCTGGAGAGAAGAAAGTGCGGACAAACAAATGTCATCGGAGGAAGTCGCTCAGTGGTTCATTTAATCTTGGGCGGAAAAATATACTTGAGGTATTTGAAGCATTCATTGTTTGTGAAGGTTTTTTTCCCGAACAATTAGATGAAGAGCGAACAAAGCAACAAGCAGCTTTGATTCCTTCAGCATCGGTTCCTGTGTGTCTCTGTCATATTATGCAATTTAAAAATAACTGATCTGACAGATGTATAATTAATGAAACGCTCACAAGGAAATCCCCCATTAGCTAACAACAGAATCCAACTCCCTTTACAGCAACGAGGGAAAATAACAAGATTTGATTTCCCTCAACTAATAATGTCAGAAAAATAAAAACATAACAAAAAGTATTTAGTAGTTGAGAGTAATCAGGACTGACAGTTGTGGTCCTGATGGTCCATTAACTCTGAATAAAGTTAACTATGTGAGCAGTGTTTCAAACAAACCACATCGTTTTAGACTGGATCCTAAAACTGACCGAGAAATGTGGAGGATTTTATATTTTACTAACCCAGTATAATGCCGTTGGGCTGCGAGGGGGACTGCCAAATGAGCCGGACTGAGGTGGTCCGCACTTCAGGGAACAGGATCCCCACCGGAGGTCCTGGAACTGCACGGAAGCATAAAACGAGATTTCATAATTCCAATTTAGTGAGCAAAGGATGAAAAATGGAAAATATTCAAGAAGTTTCTCAAAGAGCCATGACTTGATAAAAGAAAACATTCTGCTCAAAGATCTAATTACTTTGATGCTTTAATGTTCAGAAAATACTAAGAATACTATTTCACTGCAGACTTTGTAACTTTGCAAACTTTTTCTATACACACAAAACAAAGAAGTCTCCTTTAAGGTTTTCAGACAAGAACAATGAACCACATGTCATATCACAGGAGAAATGACTTCAATAACCTGCTGTCAGGTGGATTCATGTCTCAGTAACAATAATATTATTTCACTGCGCAGTGCCGCTCTCTCCTGAGCACCCACCATCGTCCAAAGTCCTCTCCAGGATGGGCGGCGAACTGGGCCGTCCATCTCCAATCCGCGTGAAAGCCAGAACCTGGATCTCATAGAGCACGTATTTCCCCAGACCGGTGAGCTGGACGCTGTGCGTGGCGTTCCCCTCCACGGTCCAGAAGTGGACGGCACTGTCCGAGTCCTTCTCCTTGTACACCACCTGATCCAGAGGAGGTAGAGAGAAAGAGGGGTGGATTAAACAGGAGGAATGGTCACATAACGTGACCCTGCAGCTCTGCAAACAACCTAAAATAGCTCACATTTCAAAAAAAAAATAATAATAATGAGATGTTGTTTTAACTGCTTAGTGACTAAATAACCGATGACAAAGCACAAACAGACCTTGTAGCCCAGGATGAGGCCGTTTCTGTCTGGTTCAGGAACTTCAAACCAGCGCACCAGGATGCTGCTGGAGGTTGTGGCGAAGGCAGACACGTTGGTCGGTCCACAGGAGGGGACTGAGACACACAGACAGCGGAGAGGAACATTATGCCTGAATGGTCCATTGATTGCGATACATTCTGAGGGATGCATTTTCCACGCTCCCTCTATGTGTGTGTGTGTGTATTCACTGTGTGCACGTGGGTGTGCGACAGAAAAGGGCGGTTTGAGCGATCTGCTATGCTTGTATGATTTGTGTGTGTGCACGTATAGGCTTTGATATCCCGGTCTACCCCTCCAGGGCTGCAGAGGAAAAATAGAAAAGGCCCGCTCTCCGCCTTGGCACTCATCCCTGGACATAATGCGCTGATTCCAAAGAATTTGCCTTAGCGAGTGGAAAAAAAAAAGGAGAGCGCAGGAATTCCACATTCAAGTCCATGTGTTCTCAATTTCCTCTGACTCCTTTCATTCCTCGCTGCCCAGCGTCTGGTGCAGAGCAGAGGCTGAAACAGAAACTGGCTGTGAAGAAGACTTCAGCAGGGCACTTGAGTGGGAAACAGTG